CATGTGCCACCTTGGGAATTAGGTCATGCGTGAACTTGGACCATGATTGTACGTAACGTTCAGACATGTTCAAGGTGTGGAATTAGTGGGACATTCATGAACGGACACAACATGATCACCGCGTATATGCATTTACTTTTGTCTCCATCTGCTAGATGGTCCTTGTTGGCACGGAGGTGAAACACACCAAGTTCAAACACATTTCCTTGTGGCACCTTTCACCCTCTGAGTAACCAGGTAACGACTCAAACAAATCCTTATCGTTGGACGACACCATAATGACCGTATCGACAGTGTAGCATCTACCGGTACTAGCTAGCTGCTTGCTGATCTCCTCGTCATCGGGGTATGTACATTGTACATGTACGAGCGTATGTCAGCCGTGCTATCTTCTGAGACGTGCAGCGAACTGTGCAAGTCGATGAGCAGCCGGTAAATACAGCTGACCAAAGCATAACACATGAACACCACCATAGGCACAGCAGCAAAACCATGCTGAAGTCTAGAGTGAACTGGACGTAGTACACTAAATGCACCCACGTTGTTGTGGGTGTTTAAGCTAATTATCTGCGTTACTTAACCACAATCATTTTTTACGCGAAGTTCAGTTCAAGTCTATCGGCAAGAGGGTTTCCGTGCGGGTGAAAGGGTCAGAGACACACAGTAATCTATGACACAGTCTTCGCTAACTGACATGTTCAGAAATGTTGCTTTAGCAGCTATGCACCACCGACTGCTGGAAATGGAGGTGAATTTGTGTGCACTGTCATAGACTTAGAGATCAACAGAGATCGAGAAACCCTGGTATTCTAATAGGTGGTGACATGAAGTTCTTCTCGCTGTCATGTCCCCGCGTGTCCACCGGTGAAGCGCTCTTGATTTTCATATCTTATCATAGTAGTCAAGAGCCGCGACACGTCGGAGACGAAAGCCAATGTAGGTGCTTCGGCCAGCGAAAATACCGGTTCATGGCAGAGCAAGTATGATACTCGGTACACAGCGTCACACCGATAAAGGTCATGTAAGACTACTAATCTGGTGTACGACTATAATGTACTACAGCCTAGGAGCAGTATTGGCTTGTACTAATACAATCATGTCGTGGAGAGTATGACTGTGTGATATACATGCAGGAGTGTCAGTGACTATTCCGTAAACCAGTGCCGCAGTGAACATGGGTTGCTCCTGCTGCAGGAACAACAGCCATCTCTGGCAACGACGAGGCCCCTTGAGACGAGCGACTTTAAGCCATGCGCTCTCGGGTCGCATGGCGGTGACTTTGCAGATCAAGGTGGACATCTGAAAGGGGTCCCCGGGAGCTTGGCTTTCGTCGTTCCAAAGCTGAGCATTGACAAGGTTTGAGCCGATCACTCGACCGGGACGAATGACACGAAACCGGCGGGTGCATTGTTGAAACCGTTAACGGGAACTGCGGGTTCCGTAGGACGATTACAGTGCGTCCTAACGTTATAATATTACTACTCCTAGTGACAATGATGCACAGGAAGATGGAGGGCACAAATCTCGTCGATAAGAACTTCTCTCCAACACCTTCACAGTGTTCGGTGTTCCCGTTGTTTCATGGTGCCCGTCGAATGGCGGACAGCTGCACGAAACGTTTCTATCGGCGTGCTGAAGCGTGAGACTATACAGGTGTGTACTCAGGCTCATGTTATCCCGCCGACTGGGGCCACGCTGAATAATAAACGAGATCGATGACCAAATTCCATTCACCTCATTGGTGGTGGGCATTCACACCTTTTCATCACATGGGAAAAATGTTTTAGGGAGCCATCATAATCGCACCTTTCCCACAAATTGTGTTTTGGATAGTCATTGAGTCTCGATGGCGATGTAGAGACTCCTATCAGCGCGTTGCATTGTGAATGGTATAAAAAACAGAGTCAGATGGACGGAAGAGTATCAGTTACCATTGACTTGAGAACTCCAAAGGACCTTCTCTTCTTCTTCTCCTCAGAACCACCATTGACATTCTCCGATTTTGTTCACATTTGTTGCCGTACCCAAGTATCATCTCCCGAAAATGAAGAGCTTTATTGTGTTGGCCTTGCTGGGTTGCTTGTGCGCCCTTGTGATCAATGTCTCGTCCCGGAGTGTGGGAAAGAACATCCTGGTCCGTAGTGATAGTGATGATAGCAATGATGGTTCTGCGATGAATTCAGGAATGGGAGAGAGCGACAGCAGTGATGGTGGTGATGATTCCTTGGACGACAGTGATGATAGCAACAACGAAGACGACAGTGATAGTGAAGACTCGGAGAACGGCAGCAACTCAGATGGCAGTGACAGTGATGATGGCTCGGCCGTGCAAGCCCAACAACCTGCCGTTCTCGTGCCTGCAGTTCCGGAAACTCCCAGGCCCCCAATTTTCATCACACAGCCCATCGACTTGGACCGAGATGCGCCTCAAACAAACGCACCAACAGAAGCTCTTATGGCGGACCCACCAACCCCTGCTGCTCCTCTAGACAAAGATGCTCCTCAGTAATCTGCGGCGCTTTGCAACGCACTCATCCTCAATCTGCAATCGAACCTCTCCGATCTATCCTACACCAGCTCAGTATGCCAATCAAGTATGGAATGGTATGGCTGTGCGGTAAGTTAGAGTGAGCTCACCACGAATGCACCTGCACCACTTGGCAAAATCATATCAATAACAACTAAACCTAGACTGTATACTGCTGGGTTCTTGAAAACCCGAAAACCCGTCCGAATTGTTGATTGGTTCTTGGAAACCCGTCCGAATTGATAGCATCACCTTGCCCTTGCCTTGATTTATGATTTTGAACTTCTGCCTAGAGCACGTAATCGACAGTAAGATAATGGTGGAAAATATTGCATTTGACTGCATTATACATAACCGGGCTAGAAAGAGCTACCTAATTAAGAGATTAGTACTTAATTTTTTAATATAAGTTGATTTCTTACTCAGCTGTGAAAGGTCGCGTTGAGCGCGCATCCTCTCATCTGCTTTGCGATGACACAGTGAGCAGACTAGACACAATGTTTCTAAGATGAATATTAGCAGTGTATTCATCCCAACAGTCTTCAAAATCTTTCTCTCACTTTCCTTTCTCTCTAATAGCATAACACTCCATGCTCCATATTAATCTCTATCCCTACACAGTTACGTGTTCTCATCATCCGCTTCCTTGATAATTAATCTGATTAACGTTATTACAAGTCCATGTATTCCTAAGTATACCTTCACAGGCACGTGAGCACGTTTGGTGATAATACAACATTTTGATAATAACAATCCTCATATCCGAACAGCATCTTCCATGTTGAGCGTGAAAGCATGCAGCACCATATGGGTGTAGCGAAAGATACTACGGTTTCGCGGAGCATTCCTGTGCCTGTAAATGGTTGTGGGAAGCTCAGAAACACGAAGGGACCGTACAGTCATATTATTTATTATACGATAATGAAGTCATCTACAACATCATGCGTGCCTGTTGGACTATGGACCTCCATAACTAACATGTTGGCATTTTAAGCATCAGGCTGTAACATCTCCTACACACTACTGGCACTAGGATGGGCATACTCTGAAGCCCCGTAAAAGAGGCTCCTCATCGTCATACATGTACTCTCAGTTGCGCAATCAAGTCGTGGGCATGACAAACTGTACACTATTGGACAGTACATGATGCTGACGCTGACGCTTTGTTGTTCACTGGGCTTGACTGCGATCTGTTCAGCCAGTGACTCTGACTGTAGGCATGGGCGGGCAATGCTAGCATTATGGCTGGCATTATAGTCCCTTTTTCCAGGTGGCATAATGCTGGCATTATAACACCATTTCGCATGCAAAATTGGCATTACAAGCATAATTGCCGGTCGACAACGGTGTCATGCATGAAGCTGGCTAGGTCCAGTTCCAAATATCGTGCATCTGAACCCGTCCGGCTTCGTCCGGAGACTTGACGTTGCAAATCAACCTTCTCAGTGGATTGTTTCAGACAACATGCGCTGCAGCCAAATATGCAGGATGCATGATTGATCACGTGCTGCCTACGTGCTGCCAAGGCGGCCTTCTTAAATCATCACCAGGGATACATACTTACAGAGACGCTCCGTTTCCAGACGCTCAGAGACGCTCCGTCTGGAAACGGAACGTCTCTGAAAGTACATGTATGTATCCATGGTGATGTTTGTGCCTGGAGAGCAGTATATAAGTGGTGCTTTTCAGGCACAATCTTCCTCAGCCTACTCAAGCTCAACTGATGAGGGGTGAATTCCCCGAAACACTGTGTATTGAGCAGGGAGTGGTGCTTTCTTGCAGGTTGCCGAGTTGACGGTTCGGTGGACTACTCGTGTGCTCTGGATGGCAGTCGTGAGTCAGTCAAGTGAGAATTCAAGTCGGCAGGAAAACCGCGAGCTCCCATGTAGGGAGCAACACACTCTTCCCCTACTATCGCCGAAGTCGCACCAACTGTCGTGATTACATCACGAAGTTGTACATAATATCACGTGTATGTTTGTGTGACGTTATCGTCCACGTAGCATTAGCCCTTTTGTTTGTTTTGATGGCTTTATGGTTTTACCTAGCTTCTTGATGATCAGAGATTAGAGTAAGTCATGTAGTACTGAATGAGAATTAATCCCAGTCCTTATGAAGTTAGTTATATTGTGGAACTAAGAGAGTCTAGACTCTAGTCACAACATAAATTGGTGCCGAAACCATGTCCGAGTATCCAGGGAGTCTCCGAGTTTTAGCAAATAAAATTAGTGCATTGTATTCTACTGTCCACGATGACGATACGAAGTGCCAACGTTTAGTTTCAGAAAGTTGTCCATCTGACGACGCAGACCAGTGGGTCGGGATTCGGACCCAGTTTTGTGAACAGCATAGAGATGCCCTCACGAAGTTGGATGCTGACCTAGATAAGTACGGCGCTGCGTTATACGATTTCGTGGCTAGTGGAGCAACTCAAAAAAAGAAAAAGAAAGAAGATGAAGAAGAGTATGAAAATATGGCCAGTACGTTACCGTCGTACTTCAAAAATCTGTCCCTGCTGAGTGCTCAAGCCAAAAGAGCCACAGCCAACACCAGTACCAGCAGTCAAGCACCTGGAATTGACGTCCAGCAGCTGCTGACAATGCACACCGCAACTCAGCAACAAACACAGCAGTTGCTGTCAGCCATTGGGAAGCACACCAGCACGGTTGGCCAGCTGGCGGCCAACTCGACACAGCCTGCACAGAGTGCTCATGGATCTGTGAAATTGCCCGTGCTCACAATCAGGAAGTTTGATGGTGACATACTTCATTTCACTGAGTTCATTGACATGTTTCAATCTGCGATCGGTACAAATCAAAGCCTGTCTGCCGTACAGAAACTGTCGTATTTGAGAAGTCATTTGACAGGCATGGCCCTGGATGTTATTGCCGGTATTCCCACCACCGATTCAAATTACCCCGTGGCGTTAGGATTATTGAAGGATCGCTTTGGCAAGAAGGATGCCATCATCGCAGCCCGATACCGCGCAATTACCGAAATGCCAGCGCCATCAAATAAACCTCACATGTTGCGGAGATTTTACAACGAGGTGGAGGCTAATTTGCGCTGTTTGCAAGCGGAAGGTCAAAGTGTGCAACAGGAACTGCTGATTCCTGTCATCACTTCCAAGTTACCAAAGTGCGTCATCGTACAACTTGAGACACAGAAACCCCACAATCAGAGTTGGACTGTTGATGAGCTGCGGAAACAGCTGGGAATCTACCTGGAGGTCCGTGAATCGGCCGAGCGACTGGCAGGAGACACAGCCAGCAAACCAGAGAGCACTCTGCCACGACCACCGCCTGTTTCCGCACAGCCTCATGCTGCCTACTCCCAACCTCCGGCCACGGCAGCCACGTTAGTTAGCTCTGTGCGGCGCGCCACTCCGAGATGCTTCTTCTGCAAGTTGCAACACTTCTCGGACACCTGCCCAACGTTCAACACGGTTTCTACCAGACAGCAGCAGCTACAAGACCACTGCTTTGTATGCTTACGGAAGGGACATTGGGCAAAGGACTGTACTGCTAGAAGACCCTGCTATCACTGCAATCTGTTGACCCATCACCGTGCCCTGTGCCCTCAGAAATTTGGCTCATCACCAGTGTCAGCTGCCGCAAGTACCTTCTATCCTACTCAGCAGCAGCAAGGGCCACAGAAACATACTACCGCTACGGTGCACGTCCAGTCCAAAGGTGTGAATCTCCCAACCGCCATCGCAACTGTCGCCGGGCAAGGCAACATCTCAGACTGCCGACTGTTGTTTGACACCGGCTCAACTCGCACATTTATTCATGAATCGTTAGCTGCCTCTGTCAACGCAGCTGTTGTCGGTGAAGACGTGTTGTCCATCGCTAGTTTTGGATCTGCGTCCCGGCGAACGGTCACCCTGCCGAGAGTGGAGTTTTCCCTCCTATGTCGAGATGGATCAGCCTTGCCCGTAACCGCCAATGTTATGCCGTGGATTTGTTGTCCTGTTGTCAAATCCCCAATCGACATCGACCAGTACCCTGAAGTCAAGAACATCCAACTAGCTGACACCATTGTCACCAAGCGTGAAGAGGTAGAAATTGACCTCCTTATCGGCACGGATTTCTACTTCTCCATCATGGGTAACGGTCACATCCAACTCAACAATGGCCTGGTCTTGCTGAACTCCAAATTGGGATTTGTCCCAGCAGGCCCTACTGACACAGAGACAGATGACACTGCGGGCCACATAATGCTCACAGATGCTACCACCTTGCCAGACCCAGTATTTGATCTCCAACGTTTCTGGCGACTTGAAGATATTGGTATCACCGATGACATCAGTGATCCGCAGACAGCGGACGACATTACCCTGGAACACTTTCGCAGCTCCTTGCAACTGATCAACGGCCGATATATGGTATCTTGGCCATGGAAAGATAGCCATACTCCACAACCTAATCTACCAGAGAACTACGAGCTCGCCTTCGGCCGTCTCAAATCCTTAGTCAAACGACTCCAGCAGACACCACAAGTGCTAGAGAAGTATCATTGTACCATCACAGAGCGGTTAGCCAATGGCATTATCGAGGAAGTGAACCTTGATCACCAGGATGGGCCGATTCACTACATCCCCCACCACTGTGTTGTTCGCCCCAGCAGTACCACAACAAAGGTCCGTGTGGTATATGATGCTTCCGCCAGAACTCGCGCAGAACACAACAGCCTGAACGACTGCCTGCACCGAGGTCCGATACTTCTGCCGGATCTGTGTGGTATCCTGGTGAGATTTCGGCTACACCCCATTGGCATTGTCAGCGATGTTGAGAAGGCCTTCCTTCAGCTAGGTCTATCTATGACAGATCGCAATGTAACACGGTTCCTATGGCTTCGCGATCCTACAAAACCCGTCACCACAGCCAACCTAGTGATCTACCGCTTTTGCCGAGTTCCATTTGGCATTGTCGCTAGCCCGTTTCTTCTTGCCGCCACAGTCGACCACCATCTCCAACAGCAACAGACAGGGACATGCGATGATGTACGTCGCAGTCATGATCTACGTTGACAACGTTGTCACCGGGCAGAGCAGCGTCCAGGATGCTACTGCATACTACAGAGAGGCAAAGGACGCCTTTGCCAGTGCCACCATGAACTTGCGTGAATGGGGTACCAACGATCCTGACTTCAGAGATGCTCTAGCTCCTGAAGACAAGTCTAGCTGTGATGTAATGAAGGTACTGGGTATGTCATGGGATACCAATCGCGATACTCTGTCGACGGCAAAGTCAACCACAAACCAGTACTCCGTCATTACCAAAAGAGATGTCCTCCGCAGCATAGCCCAATTCTATGATCCGATGGGCCTGTTCTCCCCGGTCATCATGCGTGCGAAGATCCTAGTACAGAGTATATGGAAGCTACATGTAGACTGGGACTCTCCGCTGCCTGACGCTCTCGTTCATGAATGGAAGGATATCCTGTCCGATCTGTCCTGCGCAAGTGACGTTGCCATTCCTCGCTTCATTGGACCAAAAATCCACGTCGACAAGGTCACCTATGAACTCCACGTCTTCTGTGATGCGTCTCAAGATGGTTACGGTGCAGCCGCGTACCTGTGTGTGAGACAAGTTGACGGTGCCTATTCGTCAGTTGACCTGATCTACAGCCGAACACGAGTCTCGCCCATCAAGGCAACAAGTATACCACGTCTAGAGCTCCTAGCAGCACTCATCGGCGCCAGGATCATCAAATTTCTGAAGAAAGAGCTTCTGGGCGCAGTTCACATCTCAGCTACCCACCTGTGGTCTGACTCACAGTGCGTGCTTGGCTGGATTAAGAATACTGAGAAATCGTACCCTGTCTTCATCGCCAATCGGTTGAAGGAAATCCGTGCAGACCAGAGTGTGTGCTTCAACTATATCCGTACAGCCGACAACCCAGCCGACCTACCATCCCGTGGAGCATCGCTAGCCACACTGACAGACAGTACAGCTTGGTGGTGTGGTCCAGAATGGCTTCGAGATCCTCCTGTACACTGGCCCAAAGACGTCATCGATGCTCCTTCCACAGTACTATTCGCGGCGGAGGGTCCTGCGGAAACCGAGACCAGCAGCAAGCCATCACCGCTGAGTATAGATGAGAGCAAGTATACTTCGTTTGAGAAGCTAGCCCGTGTAACAGCATACGGTATCAAGTTTGTCAAGAGATGCCGTCAACAGACCACATGCGGCACTCATTTGTCTGCTGCTGAAATCGACAACGCCAAACATCTGTGGATTCAACATGTTCAAGCAACACACTATACACCGGAGATTGAGGCTATCAAAAGCAACGCCAAGAACAAGCTGGTCCAAAACCAACCTTGCGCTCTTTCTAGATGAACATAACCTCATCCGCTGCAAGGGTCGATTGGAGAATTCATCCCTGCCATACTCAGCGAAGTATCCCATCCTTCTACCTCGTTCACATCCAGTAACCACAGCTATCATCAATGACTGTCACCGCATGGTGCTGCACAGTGGAACTAACCATACCCTATCGCGAGTCAGGTATGACTATTGGGTCCCCAGAGGACGACAAACCGTCAAGACTGTACTCAAGAAATGTGGTGTATGCAAGAGGTTCAATGGTCGGCCGTACTCACTACCGAAAATGGCACCCTACCCTCCAGAGCGCGTAGCTGAGTCTAAACCGTTCACACACGTCGGCGTCGACTACTTTGGCCCAATGACAGTCAGAGAACATGGACTCATCCACAAGGTATGGGTGTGCCTATTTACGTGCATGGTCACACGTGCCATCCACCTCGAGCTTGTTGCTGACATGACCACAGAACAGTTCCTGATGGCATTGCGCAGATTTGTGGCAAGAAGAGGAGTACCGCGCAAGATCTTCTCTGACAACGCTCAGCAATTCCTGCTTTCGAAATCGACTCTACAGCTTGCTTGGGAAGCCATTGTGAAGGATGACCACACTCTTAATTATGCTGCTTCCCATGGAATCGAATGGATTTGCATTGTGCAACTCTCCCCATGGATGGGCGGGTTCTATGAACGGTTGATTGGAATCGTGAAGAAAGCCCTCCGTAAGTCTATTGGCAGACTAGTTCTCGGAACAACGGAGCTGTCAACCATTCTCGTCGAAGTTGAAGCAGTAGTAAATTCACGACCGCTGGTGTACGTAAGCGATGAGATCTATACGGTCTTAACACCTGCCCACTTCTTATCATTATCAGCCGAAATCAGTCTACCCCAAGGGCATGTAGAAGAGGACCCTGATTTCGCCCCAACAATGTCGTCAGCGGAACTGCTACTTTCTACGTGGAAGAAAGGTCAGAAGCGATTGAATGAGTTTTGGAACTGTTGGAGATCTGAATACCTAACCAGTCTACGAGAACGGCAACAATCGCAGTTGAAACAGGTTGCTCATTCTACCGTGAAGCCAAGGATTGGACATGTGTGCCTCATCAAGGATGACGCGCCCAGAGGTATGTGGAAACTGGGTATCATCAGCGAACTTCACGCTAGTCGTGATGGAGAAACGCGTTCCGCCACTGTGAGGACGCCCAATAACAAGCTCCTACGGCGCTCACTACAGCACCTATATCCGTTGGAGTGTGAGTCTGCTCGACCTGCTGACCACTCGTCGAATGAACCACAGCCTCCCGCTGTAACCAACGACGCACACGTCCCTGCAACAGCTTCTCGACCGGTAAGACGAGCTGCTATCGAAGGCTTAGGACGTGTCCTGGATTTGCACGAGGCAGACTTGGTTTAGTTCACCATGCTGGTGTCTGTCTCAATCAGCTATCATCCACTCAAGCTGTATAATTATGTTCACCCCCCTTTTTATTCGAGTTTTCTTTTCCTCTGCCAACTTGCTCTCCCACTCACTACTTTGGCACTAGGGTGTAGTATGGGCTCCATGACTTATGTGTCCTTGCTCTTCAGTACCTTCGCAATTTGGTTCACAAGATATGTCACATCATTAGCGTAGCCTGTCAGGAGACATGCGTCTGTGGGGACTGCCCTAGTTAACATTAACAATACCCAAATAATAATAATCACCTAAATACGCGGTTCTTATGCGCTATTATAATCTTTCTCCCTTTGGTCACCAGGTCTTTTGTGATTGATCTCTCCACCTGTGTGTGGGAATGTCGTGATTACATCACGAAGTTGTACATAATATCACGTGTATGTTTGTGTGACGTTATCGTCCACGTAGCATTAGCCCTTTTGTTTGTTTTGATGGCTTTATGGTTTTACCTAGCTTCTTGATGATCAGAGATTAGAGTAAGTCATGTAGTACTGAATGAGAATTAATCCCAGTCCTTATGAAGTTAGTTATATTGTGGAACTAAGAGAGTCTAGACTCTAGTCACAACACCAACCCCTTTTTTCTAAAGTAATAATAATAGCATTGGCTGTTTCTTTCGGTTGGGTGGGGAGAGGGAGGGGCAATCCCCATGCATGCTGTGTGAAACATCGTGTTCAAGTCCAAGTACAATGAAGATAGTGTAGATCTACACGCATTTAGATCTACCGCATTTGTAACAATGTCATTATGAGGACATCGTCACTGCTGAAGCCGGTCAACACTGAATATTCGTTGTTACAATGATTGAACTGCATGTATTGGAATTGCCCCGGCTTGTAAGTTGTATACATCATGTGCCACCATGGGAATTAGGTCATGCGTGAACTTGGACCATGATTGTACGTAACGTTCAGACATGTTCAAGGTGTGGAATTAGTGGGACATTCATGAACGGACACAACATGATCACCGCGTATATGCATTTACTTTTGTCTCCATCTGCTAGATGGTCCTTGTTGGCACGGAAGTGAAACACACCAAGTTCAAACACATTTCCTTGTGGCACCTTTCACCCTCTGAGTAACCAGGTAACGACTCAAACACATCCTTATCGTTGGACGACACCATAATGACCGTGTCGACAGTGTAGCATCTACCGGTACTAGCTAGCTGCTTGCTGATCTCCTCGTCATCGGGTATGTACATTGTACATGTACGAGCGTATGTCAGCCGTGCTATCTTCTGAGACGTGCAGCGGACTGTGCAAGTCGATGAGCAGCAGGTAAATACAGCTGACCAAAGCATAACACATCAACACCACCATAGGCACAGCAGCAAAACCATGCTGAAGTCTAGAATGAACTGGACGTAGTACACTAAATGCACCCACGTTGTTGTGGGCGTTAAAGCTAATTATCTGCGCTACTTAACCACAATCATTTTTTACGCGAAGTTCAGTTCAAGTCTATCGGCAAGAGGTTTTCCGTGCGGGTGAAAGGGTCAGAGACACACAGTAATCTATGACACAGTCATCGCTAACTGACATGCTCAGAAATGTCGCTTTAGCAGCTATGCACCACCGACTGCTGGAAATGGAGGTGGATTTGTGTGCGCTGTCATGGACATAGAGATCAACCGAGATCGAGAAATCCTCGCATTAGGTGGTGACATGGAGTCCTTCTCGCTGTCGTGTCCCCGCGTGTCCACCGGTGAAGCGCTCTTGATTTTCATATCTTATCAAAGCAGTCAAGAGCCGCGACACGTCGGAGACGAAAGTCAATGTTATTATTATTATAGGAAGATCGCCTGCCTTATGGAATTCTTCCATTTGGTCACCACCCAACCAGAACTTTTTGAAGCAGCGGGATACTGCCCCACGCGTAGTCGCCGCCGCCAACTCGCATTCACTCTGCCACGGGTTGGGAAACACGCCGGGAGGTCATTTCTCTTCCGCACCGCTACTGTCTGGAATGCCTTGCCCGCAGACCTAAGAGCCACAGCCTCGCAGTCCCTGTTTCACAGTCACATTTGCACGCACTTCTCTGACACCAAACACAATGCCACTCCTCACTGACATGCCTCTGTCCTCCTTCTTTGTGCGTTGCGCTTATTCTTATTAATTTTTGTGTTTCTGTTTCGGTACATTTCGTATTTCAAGGCATATCCCGAGGCTATAGGTATCATTGATTAAAGGACCATTCTGGAACATTCAGCATAATTGTATTTCTCTTGCTAGGCTGTTCATTACGAATTATTAGCCCTCCACTGTCTGCTATCTCAACCCTACAGCCTCCCATTATAATGGAACTCCCTTCAATTTAGACTACGTCTTTGGGAAATCCTCAAATATATAATAATAATAAAACAGCGATATCTGGCAACGACGAGGCCCCTTGAGAGGAGCGACTTTAAGCCGTGCACTCTGGGGTCGCATGGCGTTGACTTTGGAGATCAAGGTGGACATCTGGAAGGGGTCCCCCGGGAGCTTGGCTTTCGTCGTTCCAAAGCTGAGCATTGACAAGGTTTGAGCCGATCACTCGACCGGGACGAATGACACGAAACCGGCGGGTGCATTGTTGAAACTGTTAACGGGAACTGCAGGTTCCGTAGGACGATTACAGTGCGTCCTAACGTTATAATATTACTACTTCTAGTGACAATGATGCACAGGAAGATGGAGGGCACAAATCTCGTCGATAAGAAATTCTCTCCAACACCTCCACAGTGTTCGGTGTTTCCGTTGTTTCATGGTGCCCGTCGAATGGCGGACAGCTGCACGAAACGTTCCTATCGGTGTGCTGAAGCGTGAGACTATACAGGTGTATACTCAGGCTCATGTTATCCCACCGACTGGGGTCACGCTGAATAATAAACGAGATCGATGACCGAATTCCATTCACCTCATTGATGGTGAGCATCCACACCTTTTCACCACACGGGAAAAAATGTTTGAGGGAGCCATCATAATCGCACTTTTCCCACAAATTGTGTTTTGGATAGTCATTGAGTCTAGGCACCGGCGGATTCTGCTCGAAAAGGTGGCAGATTCTGCTCGAAAAGCAGTGAAATTGGCAGAACCATACAAACCTTATGGCGGGCAATTCCTCGAATTCTGCTCCATGTCTTTATCCACATACCAATCATGCATGAAACTTACCAGAAAAAGTACCGAATTCTGCCAATTTTCTGCCGGCATTATCCGACGGTGCCTAATTGAGTCTCGATGGCGATGTAGAGACTCCTATCAGCGCGTTGCATTGTCAATGGTATAAAAGACAGAGTCAGATGGACGTTAGAGTATCAGTTACCCTTGACTTGAGAACTCCAAAGGACCTTCTCTTCTTCTTCTCCTCAGAACCACCATTGGCATTCTCCGATTTTGTTCATATTTGTTGCCATACCCAAGTATCATCTCCCGAAAATGAAGAGCTTTATTGTGTTGACCTTGTTGGGTTTCTTGTGCGCCCTTGTGATCAATGTCTCGTCCCGGAGTGTGGGAAAGAACATCCTGGTCCGTAGTGACAATGATGATAGCAATAATGATAGCAATGATGGTTCTGCGATGAATTCAGGAATGGGGGAGAGCGACAGCAGTGATGGTGGCGATGATTCCTTGGACGACAGTGATGATAGCAACAACGAAGACGGCAGTGATAGCGAAGACTCCGAGAACGGCAGCAACTCAGATGGCAGTGACAGTGATGATGGATCGGCCGTGCAAGCCCAACAACCTGCCGTTCTCGTGCCTGCAGTTCCGGAAACTCCCAGGCCCCCAATTTTCATCACACAGCCCATAGACTCGGACAGAGATGCGCCTCAAACAAACGCACCAACGGAAACTCTTATGGCGGACCCACCAACCCCTGCTGCTCCTCTAGACAAAGATGCTCCTCAGTAATCTGCGGCGCTTTGGAACGCACTCATCCTCAGTCTACAATCGAACCCCTCCGATCTATCCTACACCAGCTCACTGTGCCAATCAAGTATGGAATGGTATGGCTGTGTGTTAAGTTAGAGTGAGCTCACCACGAATGCACCTGCACCACTTGGCAAAATCATATCAATAACAACTAAACCTAGACCGTATATTGCAGGGGTCTTGAAAACCCGTCCGAATTGTTGATTGGTTCTTGGAAACCCGTCCGAATTGATTGCATAACCTTGCCTTTGCCTTGATTTATGATTTTGGACTTTCACCTTGAGCACATAATCGACAGTAATATAATGGTGGTAAATATTGCATTTGACTGCATTATACATAACCGGTTTAGAAACAGCTGCCTAATGAAGAGATTTTAAAAGTCGCACAGAGGTGCATACTTTAAACATCAGTTGATTTCTTACTCAGCTATGAAAGGTCGCGTTGAGTGCGCATCCTCTCATCTGCTTTGCGATGACACCATGAGCAGACTAGACACAATGTTTCTAAGATGAATTTTAGCAGTGTATTCATCCCGACAGTCTTCATATCTTTCTCACCCTTTCCTTTCTCTCTAATAGCATAACACTCCATGCTCCATATTAATCTCTATCCCTACACAGTTACGTGTTCTCATCATCCGCTTCCTTGATAATTAATCTGATTAACGTTATTACAAGTCCATGTATTCCTAAGTATACCTTCACAGGCACGTGAGCACGTTTGGTGATAATACAACATTTTGATAATAACAATCCTCATATCCGAACAGCATCTTCCATGTTGAGCGTGAAAGCATGCAGCACCATATGGGTGTAGCGAAAGATACTACGGTTTCGCGGAGCATTCCTGTGCCTGTAAATGGTTGTGGGAAGCTCAGAAACACGAAGGGACCGTACAGTCATATTATTTATTATACGATAATGAAGTCATCTACAACATCATGCGTGCCTGTTGGACCATGGACCTCCATAGCTAATATTTTGGCATTTTAAGCATCAGGCTGTAACATCTCCTACACACTACTGGCACTAGGATG